ACACAACCTCCCTTGCATTAGGTCTGCCCTGGTTTAGGGTTCATCGATTAACCATTACAAAACCGTTGGTGAACCGTTGATAGAACCGTTCATAATATATAACATATAAGACTATATTACATTAATTTAAGAATGAAATTATCATTGATCATAAACAAGCTCAAATTCATATCATCACCAAAATATATAATATTATTCCAACCATCTCACAAAAGAAACCACATTTTTTTAATTCAAATTAAAAATTACTGTTCTAGTCGGTAGTAGACGACGTAAAGTCGACAATAAGGTTAAGGAAGCATATATAAAATTAAGAATTATGATTTGATGGTCTTAGTTTATGTTAAATCAATTTTTTTTGTTAAAATAGTGAACCAGTGGACAAGTTAAACCGTCCTGGTTCATCTGATTTTATAATGAACCGTGAAATATCGTTTGGTCCATCAATAACCGTTCAAGTAATGAACCAGACCGCTATCGTAACTAGTTTGACGGTTCTACTGGCCCGACTGTTGAACCGGTTCAATTCTTATAAGTTATAACAATGGTCAGAACTGAAATATCGAATTAGATGTGTCCTCATTTATATCATATAAATATGAATATATAATTAAAACTTTAATAACAAATTAATTCATTCATGAAAAAATACCAATGGATACAAATTATATTTTGTATAAACAACCATGACATATTTTCAATTTTCATAGGAAAAAACTTTCATTACTTATACTTACAAGTAAGTGACAGTAGATATAGTTTACTATGTTGATTTTATTTTTATAAATCTTATCATATTAATGTAAATTTCTAATATTTTTTCGTTGAACTAAATGCCTTATATAAGCTCGAAAAATAGTAGTTTTTTCTCTAAAATTTTAGGTATATCCTGTGGCAGAGCCAAAATATGTTGATTCCGTCAATGTGTATGGTTCAGCTAGTGATACAACTTATTTATTTTGTCCATGCCGGTTTAACAAAATATATAGAAATAGGAAAAAGTGTTGACATAAAATGAATTTAAGCACATATAAAATATGTTTTAAGACTATCTACTTACAATCTACCATAATAATATTTAAAATAAAATACAACATTTCAAACAAAACAACAAATACTCATATTTAAATACAATATTTAGCGTCGACATTGACATGTTTATACTTGAATCCAACAAATAACACTAACATTTAAATTTCAAATTCATCAAATAAATCACAACTTAATTTTTTATTAAATTAACCAAAAGGACATCATTTTATTTAAAAATAAAAAATCAATCATGTTTATCATACAAATGTTACTCCAACCGATTTTATAAATGGCAGAGATTATACTAGGTTCAAGTGATCGACATTTCACCGATATTAGGGATGGGCAATGGGTGGGTCAGCCACTAGACCCACCCAAACACACCCTATCATAACCCACCCATTACATGTTTGGGTGGATATGGTCGGTGGGTGTGGGTCATCGTTTTTGTCACCCACTAAACTTGGGTGGGTGGCGAGTGAGTAGTGGGGTGGGTAGCGGGTGGGTCATTTCATGCAAAATCACATGATATATTAAGTCGCTAATTCATATTCTATAATAAAACACTATTCTTTCTTATACCAAAACTTCAACAATGATTGATTCAATTAAATTACAATTATCTTGTATAAATTTTACTTTATTTACAACATAAAATCGATCATTTTAAAATATGAAAACTATTAACAAAATATTTTTGTTTGCATATGAGGTAATTAGTGTTAGATTATAAGTAAACTATGTTTAATAGCTCTCAATTTTCTTGATTTGTAGTATTTATATTCAATTAGTTTAGGGCTAATACCACTGGGAAACCCGAACTATCAACTATCAACAATGTGTCATTTGTGTCCTAAAATATCCGATATGACATTTGTGTTCCAACATATTATAGTCGTGTGTCATTTATGTCCTGACGATTTTGTTGACCGTTATAGATAATGGTTGACCAAACGACCGTCACAGATTTGCTGACGTGGCAAAAAAGCTTGTTGCCATGTAGATGCCACATCATTAAATATTATTTTTTGGTTCAAAATTTAATTATTTTAAAAAATAACAAAAGCAAAAAAAGAAGTAAAAGAAACCCTAAAATTATTGGTTTCTCCGCCTTTGTAAGCCGTCGCCGCCACCGGTGAAGACGACAGTGGGAGCAGTGGATCCCGTTGGTGGTGGAGAAACCAATTGGTGGAAGAGAGGGAGAGCGACGACGGAATCGGGAATCGCGTTGTTGGGTTCTCCACGACGGCAACACCTGGGGATAGGGGAGGAGTGGAGAAATATCCCACCTCAGGCGAGCGACGCTTGTTCTTTCTGGAGGAAGATTCATCTTCGGCAAACATCCCACCTCAACTCCCTCAAAGATTCCACCCAGCTGGTAAACCCCCTCCATCTCTCTCTTGACAAATTTATTCTATCCTCTTCTCTAAGTTGACCTCCGAAATTGGATTCTCCGTTCGTGTTTGTCTCTCTCTGCCAAAAAATTAGATCTGTTTTTTTGATGAATTGATGCAAAAAGCAGATCTGTTGTATGTGGAACCACATCCCTGTCGAAACCAATCTTCAAAACCTCCAACTCAACAGCGACATCGGTCGCAGAGGTAGAGTTGGCGTATGAGGCGGTGGCGGTCGTTGCGGGAAATCATCTGCTCCGCTCCTCCACTGCGATTAGTCTCCCCTTCGATTCTCTCTCTCTCTCTCCTCCGACGGCTATTTGGAACGGCCATTAAGCTCAGGTCACGCAGCAACCACCTTAGTAGCAACGAGTCTGATGGCTATGTGGCGGATGGAATTGACGAGAGAAGATGAAGAAGTTGGGAGTCTAGAGGAGATAGTTTTTTATTTTTTAATTATTTTTTATTTTAGTTTATTCATATTTATAGAAAATAATTATAAATTCCACTTCAGATGCCACATAAGCGCTGACTAGACTTTCTGTTAAAAACTAACAGTCAACGCCAGTCAACTCTAACGGAAAAATAGTTTAGGACACAAATGTCACATCGGATACTTTAGGACACAAATAACACAAAGTTAATAGTTCGGGTTTCCTAGTGGTATTAGCCCATTAGTTTAATACAAACTTTTATGGCTCATAATTATCTAATTATTTAAAAATAATTTGACCCACCAAAACCGCCAAACCCACCCACCATCCGCCGTCACCTACCAACCCACGCACAACGATACAAATGGATGGGTGTGGGTCATTTTTTCATCACCCATCATAACAATGAGTGGGTGGATTTTACCCAAAAACCGACCGAACCCACCCATTGCCCATCCCTAACCGACATGACAACTATGCAATAACCAATTTGTTAATTAATTAAAAAAGTGGGGATAACTATTTGTTCAATTAGCAGGTAATTTGCGATTGAGTCTTAACTCTTTGGTTCGCATGCTGGAGCATGCTAAAGTAGGAATAATTATACATATTTTCACATCCTTTTATACGAACATTTCTTTGTCATTTTAGCTAACCTCAGAGAAGTCGAATTGAAGTGGTCGACGAAGCAATCAACCATGGAGATCACCACTCCTTCTACGTTTGTATCTACATCTCTTATGAACTAATCTTTCTTGTTGTTTGGATGAGATGAATCCTAATTTTGTGATTCTGAATTAATTGAATATTCAATTTGAGTTCTCAATTGATGTCGGTTTTTGATTACTTGTATGTTTTGTGTATATGAGTAGGAGGATGTCCCCATATACATGATAGAACACTTAGTAATGGAATGGACTTATTGAACTGTCAGAATATGGAAGATGGACCTCTGGTTTAGGGTGAAACCTAATATGAGAATTCAAAGAACGACTTAATGCTTCGATTAATGGATTATAGGTCAAAGATTACTTCAGAACCTAAGTTAATTGACTCATAGAGTGTTAACGCGCAAGAGTATTGGGTTACTACTATTTTGGAAATTCCTACGGTTTGAGAATAATAAATCACACATGGATCGTGTCTGCTTGCTACTAGATAACTAAGTTAAATTGTGTTGTTGTCAGTTTTCTATTTTAATAGATTAGTAGATAATTTTATTTTACTAATTCAAACAACGCACTTAATGAATCGGTTAGATAATAGAAAATATAGCTAATGACTAATAATCATTGTTTCTTTGTGATACGACCTTGCTTGCAATTATATTGCTATCACCGACAGGTACACTTACACTAATTAGTCACACCTGAAAAAAAGGCCATCAACGATCAAATTTTTGAAGACATAATATATAAGTTTAATAAATAACAATGCAACATTTGCAGCCTGGAACTAATTGAACAAATCAAGGGAACCAAGCTATTAAACAATCTACAGTATCATTTATAGTGGAAATATAAAACTGTCACCACTATTCAAAAATCCCTGCATTTAGAGTGTTTTGCGGGAGTTGACGTGGCTGGTCTACTCTACCTTAATTTTGTTCGCGTCAATTTCTCCATCGTCACAAAACCAAAACGGGAAAACCTCATCGCTCTCGATTAGCAGCACAGAGGTCTCGCGATTTCAACAATGATTGGGCTTGTGAGTTCGCTTTTGGAACCGATACTCAACAACGAAGATGGCTGATGTCGAGCTGGTGATAACGACGACGACGAGGAGGAGGTAAGAAAGATGAAAATCAACGATTGCGGGGGAGGACGGAGGAACAAGGAAACAGATCTGGCTGGCGACCAACGGTGGCAGTGTGGCAAACTGATTTCTAGGATCATGGTTGCCGACCTTCGAGTATCGCCGTCGGCGAAGGAAACCCGACTATCAGGTGATGACAGGGAAAGACTAGGTTTCTGAGTTGCGGCAGCTGGAGGTGGGGATTCTGATCTCGGTCCATCGATGAGCGAATTCACAATCACCTTTGTGCGAGCTCGCCTATCGGGGCATTCTCTAATCTCTACTAGATTACTTATCGGTTGATGGATATTGTCGAGGACAATATTTTCAGAGACTGAGTGAACGGCAACCGAGCATTAGCAAAAGGGAAACCAGCCACAGGGCCACACGCTCGATTCCAACACCATCTACCAATCGGGACCTTCAGATTTGGTGCTCTGGACTGTGCATGTTGTCCACTCACTTTCGATCGATTTTTTCTAACTTTTTTTGGGTAGAATCTAACCTTTCTTTTGCAGGTTTTCCTTCTTCTTGCTGATTTCTCTTTTGGTTAATTTTTCTTGGTGAGTCTTGCTTATCCTAGGTGTCTGGTGTGGAATCGTCTTTCGAGATTGTATCTCCCTAAGAAATCTTCAAGTAGAGTTACTAATAAAGCATCCATGAACCTTTCCTTTTATTTTGTCTATGCATTGGTGATAAATCGTGAAGTGAGATTGATGTATCGCCTACTGCACTGTTTAATTGCTGGTTGCTTGGTGTGGTTGAAGGGGATTTGTTGCGTAATTAAAAAATGACTTTTTCCTTTAGGCTGATGATTCTATCTAGCCTGTAGTTCTGTAATTGAAATCCGTCGACTAATAGACTCCTTAATTTAGGTTCCTCTTTGCTACTTGAGTGTCTCCATGGCTTATGAAAGTGGAACTGATTTTGTGGGGTTTCTTTTGTGCAGGAAGAAGAGACTAAATCAAGTAAAAAGTTTATTAATATAGCCGCCTCTGGTGCAGCTTGGATGATATCCAATCATCTTCTCTTTAAACTAAGTAGCAATCGCCTTCTCATGTTCACGAACTGCTTATAGCTTCTTTAGTCCCTGTTAATGTGTCTCCCAAAATGATGTTGCATTTAGCCTGGTAAAACTTGCACCTTAATGGTTTCAATATGATTGCCAAGCCTGAGATTTTACAGTAGAACTAAACTTGGTCCACTGTAAGACCCGTGTGCTGTGTTGCAAAGTCGACTTCAGTTAGAAAAGCTTAACCATTGGAGACCTTCACTCTAACCCTCAGATTCATTGCATTCTAATATTGGATCTCAAAGTTTTGTAATCTGGTTTGGTTATTTGCGCATGGTTTCTTGCTTCTAATCGTCAAATTGAGAAACCTAAATCTCCTGCTCACTTCATTGTGGGATTACATATGTATGCTACTTTGTGACTCGCACGAAACTACACCACACATAAACCCCAATTAGAGCCCAAGTTTTTAAACTCTAATAGGGTGTAGTATAGGGCAAGTATTTAGATCGACCTGGGTCGGTCCGTCAACCCCTACTTCGGTTGTTGAAATCATTATCTAGCGATAAAACTTTGGTTTAAAGGTTTTCTAATTGAAATGAAAGAAAGCAAATGTAATTTGGTTTGAAAACTCTTTTGTGGGAAAGTCACTCGGGATTCGCTTCCCCCTAATCGCTACCATGCTACGTGGATTGGAACGATTGCCTTGGGCACATTAATCGTGAACTGCAGAGGAAAGCATATGTGATCGGAGACCACAGTCTCAATTGCTAAACCGAGGTGAGGATGAAAGGCCGTGTCACTCGACCCTCTCGGTTTAGACAATCGGTAATCCGCTTACTCCCTCACTCAACTCTAAGGTTGGACGGTTTAACCACGATTAATCGATTTGTTTAATTCAATATCGAGGGTTGCCCTAACTCAACCTAGTTTAGGTGGCTTAGAAATAGAAAGGAAAACCAACTCGATTGAGTCTCCCTTGAAAGGGGGATTTTCCTCTCTAAACTAGGCTAAGGCGGCAAATTAGATTACTAGCACCTAAATGCATAAACTTAGGGGTGCTAAGCACAATTATGCACAATCACTAGGATGCTAAGCACAACACATGCAGAACCCCTAAGTTGCTAAGCACAAGCAGCACAATCATGGTGAATAATGCCTCAAACATTGAATTGAACAATACCCAATATCAATCATCCAAACCACATACAAGAAAACTAAATGGTAGAGTTAGGGTTTCACTACACCCAAGTGAAATGAGGACTACTCCATGGTAGAAGTGGGAAGAATAAAAGGGAAAAAGGTAGAAAACATCTTTTGGGGATGCCTCCTCTCTTCTTGACTCTTGAGCTGAGATCTCCTTGGGGAAATCTTCCCAAAATCTGCCTTGAAGCCAAACCCTAACCTCTTCTCCCCTTTGGTTCTATTTCTCTCACTAGAATGCTGAAGAAGGTGTTTCTCTCACAAAAGTGGACTCTCTCCTCTCTCCTTCTTGCAGCTCAGCTTTTAAACCCGAGAAGAGTTGAGTTCACGGCCGTGAACCATCAAACGCGTCCGTGAACTCAAGCCGCGCGCCAAAACGCTCCGCATCGCTCACGTCAGTTCACGGGCAACTGCTTGTGTTCACGGTCTCAGTGACTGTGAACTCACCTTGCGTCAGTAACCTTCAAATTGGCTCTGGATGCCTTGCGCTTCACGGTCAACTCCCCTTCTTCACGGTCTTGCACAACCGTGAACTCCTTCCTTTAGCCGTGAACTGGCGCTTTTTCACCTCTTCTCGCGGTTTTCGATCCTTTTCGCCAATCTATCGACGCCGAGGCTGGTTTCATCTGTTAAATCCTGAAACACACTCAAATACGAAGAACCTAGCATAAAACCGACCTTTAAGGAGCGAATTTGGCACAAACATCTAAGGAAAACGGGGGTAAAACATGTGCAATAAGGCCCGAATCACTTTGTTTCTTATATTTTTCTTGAAAGCAATGTTGTGTTGAATGCTCCAAGATTCCACGAAGAAAAAGGTCCAGAGGTTATTGGTCCTCTTTCCATTCAAGAGTTAAAAGGATTTTACCAGTGATGCTGCTAATCTGGTATGGTAATTTCATCCAAGTCGGCTATATCTATAAATCTGTAATTGACTTTAAGTAAATAGTAGGTTGAAAAAGGGTCCTACTTATTGGCCTTGATAATTGCATAGGTTTGACCTATTCAATCTAGTTTTTTTATACTTGAGCTGGAAAATTAGTAATCTGACTTTTGCTTATCAGTTCATCATTTTTCAATTACCAAGAATCACCTACACGTCATTGAACTTGAAGCGAGGTTCTACTATGGATTAGATCTTTTAAGTTTTAACAAAGATAACCATTAATTTGGAAACCAATATTGTTACCTTGTTGCGTATAGGTTTAACACATTATCTGAGTCTAGCCATTGGTATTATAATTTGGAATATAAATTTGTCATGCCGAGTCAAGCATGAACTGTATGTCCTCTGTAATGGTTTAATGAATCTTCTAATCGATCCCTTTTTACCAATGAAACTAGGCTAGGATTTAATGTTTAGGAACACAGAACAAGTTGCCCAACACTTAAACATTTGACCATTGCCTAAGGAGATTGAAAAAATTTCTCCATGGTTTTTTAATTTATATATATTCTAGGATCAAACCTGTCTATCTTAGTCGACAGTGCTCGATATACCTTTGAGGCATTGCGGCCTTATTATTTTTTCATTGCGGGAATGATATTATAAGTCTGAATTGTACTTGACTGTAGTTTATTTGAACTTCAACAGAGACATCCCATGATGTTATTTTGCTATCCGATACCATCATCTTGTGAATTGGCATTGGTCATATCTCTTGCTTTCGATATGTTTCAATGCCAGCCTGAAAGGAGCAACACAGAGAAGAAAAAACAAGAATATGAAGGTGTTAATGTTTGAACTTATGATCATGTCGTGAGTTGAAGTTTACAAGATGTTGCACTGTCTAGCATTGGGGTTAAATCTCTTAATGCATATATAAAGTACCACAGAGTTATCTGTTGATTAATTAGATTGCCATGCCGAGTCAAGCACGGGGTTAAATCTCTTAATGCATATACATTTGTCATGCCGAGTCAAGCATGAACTGTATGTCTAGCATCGGTTTAATTGATTTGTCAATTAGTTAGATTAGAAAAATTTGAGTGCTATTCGTATTAGTTTGTGAATCTATACAAATGTTTAATTTATAAGTTTGGTTTGACGATTTGACAGAAAAGTAGAATGAAAATAGTTATTTAGAAGTAATAACTCATTTATGTTTCAGTAATTATTTTCAATTGCAATTTAACGACATGCTAGCAGTCGTCAAATGTTATGATACTTTATTATAAAAAAAATGCTATGATACATGATTGATAATGTAAAGAAATTAGGTGAATCTTTAAATGAGGTACAAAGTTCGTCCCTATGCTCAGTCAGGATTTTTTTGTCTGAGTAAGATCAAGAAGATAGTTAGAGCAAACACTACTCACACTCACTCGCCACCCCACAAACAAGCCATCCTATAAAATTAAAATAAGTTAACTCTAACAGAGACAACAACTGGGCTTTACGTGTCACTCTATGGGCAGCCCAGTTGGCAGTCCGCATAACCGCTCTAAACTCTATACAAAGAGACAGAGGCTCAAGAATAAGCAATCTCTTAAGACAGGACCACCAACGATATCCTCCACTACTCCAAGGTTGAGTTGATGGATGACCATTGTTGCATCGCCTTCAATGATGACATGAGTCACACTCCTAGAAGTTGCGAGCGAGATTGCATCCCTAGCTGCAAGGATCTCTGCAAGGTACAGATTTGATATCCCGTGATGCTAGAACCCGAGGCAAGCATCACATGTCCTTTCGATCCACGAACCACAAGGCCAAACGAGCAACCAGAAGTTTGGACAACAGCGTCGAAATTAATCTTTAGAAAATCTTGATGAGGACTCTCCCAGCGATGTCTTGAAGTCGTATACACACGAGAATGGCTTGAAGTCGTAGAAGCTTGGACACCAGACTACTATTGATGATTTCAAATGTATAAGTAGGATTTTTTTCCTTGTAAAATTTGGACTAACGCCTCCTTTACGTGTAAATAGCCAGGAGGTGAACTCATTTCTCCAACTATATCATGAATTATGTTTGTTATTTTCTTCAGGAGCCAGACAAAAATAATTTTCTTTCGGCACTCAAATTTTTATAAATCAGGATAAGCATAATGCATAAGGAATTAAATCAATAGACTTTTTGCAAAATTAAATCAACTTCATCATGTACATTAACAAGCTCAACTAAGAAATTCACACGTCCATCAAACTGGGCTTCGTGAAGTGAAACGAGACCTTCAATTTCTGAAATTACCTTTCTAAGATAATGTTTGAAAATTGATAGTCTACCACTCTCTCTCCAGTTCCACGAGCCGATTACTTAAATTAATACGGCGAATGAGCCGGTGAAAGCTAGAAGGCCTCGTGGAAGGTGAGTTAATATTAAAGACTTCTAAATAATTATTCCATTCAGAATCTTCATGGATTAAGTAATCGATTTTTTCAAATCTTCGCTCACCTCTTTCATTTCTCGAAAACACGTATAGGAGAAACCCCTAATTCCCGCTAAATATTCATCGGACTAAACTTCATATACATGAAGCTACCGTTTTTGGTTTATCAAGAGATTCTGATGAATTTCTCATGACTTTCAAATCATGTACATATTATTTAGAAGTCGTTAATATTTTAAATATGATTGAGTTGATTAATATAAAATGAATTCATCCGACCAACGAGTCGGGTAAAAGCTAGTATTATACTGTTGTGACTTGTGAGATGAACGTCAAAGCTACTGACCCATACTATTGCAAGTTTGCAATTGTGCTCTTAGAATCATGAATTAGTGATGAGATATTCGATATT